AATTTTCAGTGTCTTTCTGTATGTTAACAGTATTATCATGCTTCTTTATGAAGAACATTTCAGCAATCTCTCTCTTTCTTACATGTTTCTCATTATGTAAAATGGTCGGTGATTTCCAATTAAAGTCATGTTCAAAATCACATCTGTGTTTACTCAAAACCGAATGATTAGACTCATATAATTTAATATTGCTAGCATGTTCCTTCACTCTAGTGCATAAATGTCTTTTCGTTTGTCCAATGTATGAGATATTACAATTTTCACAATTAATCTTGTATATTACATTCGTTTTTATATCATTAGTTATTAAATCTTTACCTCGTTTTATCAGCCTATTCAAATTTTTTGGCAAACTATAAACGACATTTAAGTTAGCATTTTTAAGTGACCTTTTAATACTGTCGCTAACGTTTTTAACATATAGAAGTGGAATCACATAATTCTTATCTTGAGTCGAATTCACATTATCGTTATTATCCAAATCATTATTCAATTATCGTTATTATCCGCATTGTGACGGTTAACATTCCTATTATTATTTAGTACATTAATTCTTTTATTTACATATTTATTAATAATACGATCCGGAAAGCAATTATTAATTAAAATGTTCTTTACAATCTCAATATTCGTATTGTGAAATTGTTCGTTTAAAAGTAAAATTGCATAGTCTACTAAATTAGAAATTGTATTAATTTTATACTTAATAGGATGACTCGAAAGAAAATTGATGTATCTGCCAGAACATGTAGGTTTCCTAAACCAATTGTCGTTTTTATGTTCCGAAGGATGCTTTGGAAACAACTAGAATATCTATTGCCAATTCACTACAAAAATTTCTATCTAAAAGTAAACATATTAATTATTGTGACAGATTTATTCAGAATGCTTTTAATACTTCTAATAAATATTTGCAGAATAATAAAGATTTGATTGTTACCAAAGCTGATAAAGGAGTATACATATAAGTATACATATAGCATGTCAGAAAATGAACTAGCGAATATTATGTATGTACAATATATGTATCTATAGAAATTGTATAATGCATATATGTATATGTGTAATATACAGCAATGCATATACATATTACGTATAACAAAGTACCTATACACAAATTATGTATAAACATTTGACATATGCATTATATAGGTAGGATATATTGTATGTATTTATAAAATACATTAATGAAAATAAATATACATCAAGAACTTATACATATTATATGTATAATGTAGATACATATATCCAAATTATGAGATGTATAAATATTTGTACCTTGCAAGATATTATTTTTATGTAATGGAAGAAAAATGTGTATTTAAAATATTATATGGAGTGCAAAATATTATGTGTGTGTTTTTATATATAAAACATTAGTATTTTTATAAGATATTTTTCAATTATTTCCAAGTTTCAAATTTTAGCGCATTGGTACAGCTAAGGTGATCACTGATGAGAAGGACAGAATCGCGGTGATCGTGGTCACGTGAATCTTTGCTGGAAGTTTTCTACAAGAATCGGAAGGTGATAGATGGTTCGATATTATCTTAAGTGACGAAGTCACGCATGCATGCGAGCATCCGGTTGGCGCAATGTCGCAACAAGCCGGGATGTAACCTGACGACGTGTAGGTGGCCGTTGTTGTCATCGTGGCTGGAGAAGGACGTTAGTTATCTCTTTGGGCTCTCGCTCGCGAAGGTGAGGCAAGTGAGCAGGTCGCTTGTGAAAGAAGCGCTTAACGAACTGACGACGACATTATTGTTGTTGCCGGGACTCCGGACGGATTCGGCCGACTACCCGTTCCTTTTATCGGATGAAGCCAGAAGGTAGACCTTTTGCCCGTTGCTCTTCTATCCCTCCCCCCCTCCAGGTCCTCTCCCCCTTATCTCCCTTAGCCCTTCTACTAACAATTTCCTCCATCCGTGTCCTTCCGCCCTCGTTCGCGCGGAAAGAAAAACCATACAAGTGAGGAAAAACGAAGATGGGGAAAAAGGGACCTCTCTTGATTTGACTTTAATTAACTCGCCGGTATCTTTTCTGGTACGTATTGATATCAACGGCTTTAATCCTTTCCAGTCGTTCTGAAAGACATTGTCACGAAAAGTACCTGTTTTTAATTTTTTCAAAGGCCAGATATATACCTATTGCATACGTTTCTCATGAAGATGATATTTATTGAATCCCCATTATATAAAAAGAATAATTAATTAGACAAATTATTTTTTTTCTTTTTTTAGCTTATTTTATTTATTTTCGATTTTATTTCGGGTTCGATTCCCGATTCAGTAACTTCGGACCAATATTTTTCTCGTCTCTTTAGGGGGTCAGAAGGAAGGGAAAGGAATTAATCTCAAATTGAGATACAATTTCTATATAAATCTTGGCATTGCATCAAGCAAAAATTCGTACATTTAGCTCTTACAGCCCGTTTATTTTTTTGGGTTATATTTGATATTGAGAGCCTTAAAAAAATTTAATATTTATTTCTCATTATTAATCATTTATTATTATTTTATTCTAAAAATTTGAGATAATCTAATTTTCAATTCTTTTTCTTCTTTTTCTTAATTTCACAATATGATAATAATTATTAGTAAATAATTATTATTAGAAATCACAGAAATCTTTAAAAACGATCTTTGAAAATTTTTTGGAATTCTCAATTAGAAAGATTATACAATCACATTTGCCGACACGTGTTTATGATCAGTAATTTGCATAATTAATGTACCTATATGTATATATATCATAAATTTTTATTCCATTCAATGAATACTTAATTATAACGAGTGTTGCAACTCGTAAAGTTAAATTTACAAACATCGGAAATTATTAAATCAATTCGCGCGTCTATATATATCTCTACTTTTATATTCATTGCGATTCCCTCATATGCGTCTCGGGCCATTAATTTGTCACATACATAATTTCTCGCAAAACTCATAAGAGGATATCTGATTGTAAATAAAATCGGATTTTACATGCGGGCACACGCGTACGAAAGGATCGGAAAAATTAATATATGTATATATATGTGTGTATGTATTGCGAGTCAGCACGCGACGAAACGAGCGTAATAATACTATCGTCGTTGAGGCTATCTTTCTCCCGGATTCATTAAAGACGTTTATCGGGAGAACACAGGAGAGCGTCTATGTACCAATTCACTTAACGTAACCAATCTAAAAATGCTCATCAGCAATTTAAAACGACGAGGGCTTCTGAAAGGACAGCTATGAACGACGGGACGAAAGGATGTAGACGGAGATAGTCGGAGAAGAAGAACGACGGGAGGAGAACAGACTTTTGCGAGAGACTCCTTCGAAATGAGCGGAAGGGACGGTTGGTGGCGAACCGACTGTCTTTTTGTGGCCAGGAATAAAATGGAAAGCAAAAGAAGGAAATCTTGCGTGGAATCTCACAAAATATTCGCCACGCACTAATTTAATAAAATAACATGTGTGACACATTGAGATCTTTTAAATTAATCGTTGAAATTAATTTACCATACATTATCATACATTATGTACAGAATTAATGTTTCGGCTTCTATATTTTTCGCAGATTTGAGAGACTAATATTATGTTTATTTTACAATTTATAATATAAAATACTTAATAAATTATTAAATTAAAGAAATTTGTTCAAGTAGATATAAATTAAAATATAAAAATATATTTGATTAAAATAATATTTTATTTGTTAAACTTTTAAGGTTTAATCGATTACTTAGAATTTAAATAATATTATATTAAAATAATAAGGATATTAAAAATTTAATGAATAATTTTAATAAATTTGTAAAAAAATTTATAAAATTATATCTAGAAAAATCAATAGTTATAATAAATGTTTTAAAATTTGAATGAAATACATATATATAATTTAAAAATAAAATAATTATAGTTGGGATCTTCATTTTTATAGTTATGATTTCTATAACGTTAGTAAAAATAACCTTACATGCATGGTTCTGGCAACTAATGTAAAAATTTTACTATAAATTATAATAATTTTAAATATTATATAGTAAAATATTAAGTAGCAAATGGTAAATTAATAAACCATTTTTTATAATAATTACAATTATAATTATAGTATATATGTTTATAGTCTTAATGCCAGTTTTACTATTTATTGGTAATAATAACTAAAAAGTGAGTAAGAGAAAACAACTAAAAACATTAGTTTTTATAACTACATTGATATTTTGTTTAACTATATTTCTAACTAAAAATTTACTAAAAATATCGTAAAAACAAACAAATAAAATAGTTACACTTTACATGCATGGTTCTGACAAATAATGTAAAAATTTTACTATTAATTATAATAATTTCAAATATTAATATAGTAAAATATTAAGTAACAAATGGTAAATTAATAAACCATTTTTAATAATAACCACAATTATAATTATAAAACATGTAGTTATACTGTTAATATTAGTTCTATTATTTATTAGTAATAACTAAAAACATTAGTTTTTATGACTATATCAATAGCTTATTTAACTATATTAAAGATATGAAAAAACGAAAATAATTACAAAAGTTATAATTTATGTTATATTTTTGATCTTAATTAAATCTTTCTTATCTTTAATTTCTGATCTTTAATATTCAATTTTTAATAGAATTTAACATTGCTTGTTGCACGATGTAGACTGCAGTTAATACTGCGCTATGCTAAATGCTACGAATTATTTCTATCTTTGTATATTCTATGAAGATTAAAAATAAAATGTTTCAAAACATTGTAATCACAGCCATAGTCGTTGGTTTATTAATTTACCATTCAAAATAGCCGTTCCATAAAACAAAGATCGAGCCGCTATCGCGTCGTTGCCAAACAGAGATATCAGATTCGATGCTCGGTATTCGGCAACATCTTTGTCGGCGAGATCTTTGAGTCTGCACGTGCACAGATATATATCAATATCAGATCGGTGGCGCTTGGCGCGGCATATAGCGGCAGTCAGTACTGATTGCGGACAGTTACTATTTTCCGAGTGTTCAGCGTGTACGCAACGCAACGTGCAAGGTTAGAATCCAGAAATCGGACGTGTCGGACAACAAAGAAGATTAAATTGTGTGAATATAAAGTGTATAATTGTTTAATTAAGTGTTTAATGTTAAGAAAATTATCGGGGAATAGGATTCGTCGTTTAGAAAAAGTAAGTACATAGTTCTAATAATAAAGAGAAGCTTGTGCTATACATATAATAGCACAAACACATTCTTTTGTTTAATTGCAGGAAAATATTATATAATAATTGCAGAAAAGTTCTTATCTTTTAGTCAACAATTTTTGCAATTATCGATATTCTAATATACATATATATATATATATATATATATATATAGCAAATACAATTGAAAGATATTTTTTAGACGTACGTCTTTGAAATGTCTTCTGAATGTCTTTTAGATATGATCTAAATAAATATAGCGTTTAATAATATACGCGTTACATATTTTTATAGGTTAAATATCTACAAGATGTCAAATTTAATTGAAGATCAATTGGAAGCGTGGGGTCTTCAGGAATACATGAGAAGTTTAAAGGTAATTATTTTATTTTAATAATATAAGACATGGTGATTATGTCGCATTTTTAATTATTTAGATGAACAAATCGATGAGAAAGCATTCCTACATATGTCTGACTCCATGGTCAAAGAATTAATACTGTACTGTAGTTGGAAAACGTTTTTGTTTTCTACAAAATCGGAAACGATTACTCGAAAGTGAAAATTTAATTTCGGTAAGATAATTTTTATATCAGATTCCATTTTTATTAGATTTTATATTTGCAATGATAAATTATTAAATTAAGGCCATGTGTAACGAGCAATACGATATTATTTTATTATTGAGAAGAAAATTCTTAATTTAAAATAATAATTGTACAAACGTTTCGAGCTCTACTTGCTCCTCTTCAGTGCGCAAAAAAATAGTGATAATAAATAACGATAATAAATAAATACATAAAATTCTAATAAAAAATCCGCAATACATAGTCAATATAAGTTATATAGTTAAAACGCAAAATATATTTACAATGAATTGAAACCATTAAAATAGTTCAACAAAGTAAGAACCCAATTAGAAGCAGAATGATTCGTCCGGTTATTCATAAAATATATTAGAATTATTAATAAAAACTTGGAGTGACACTTATATATTGCTCCAAATGAACCACTTATCGTTATTTGACGAAAGTCCCTCGATCTGGCAATGATTATGTTCATCCTCTCCAAATTATTTGATATTTGTTAACTGAATTTAAAGAATTTATTCAATTGTAAAATAGGATTCCACTAATGTGTATGTGAAAAAGATTAAAAATTATAAATTAAACTAACTACTAAAATATTGAACCTTTATGTTTACAAATTGTTCCGAATAACTTGAGATGACAATGCTTCTAACTGTTGTTGGCCTTATTGTTAGTACTTGACTGTTGTCTAGTCTTTTAAAAAGTCGAATAAATAGGTGTCAGTTCTCACAAAATAAACATATTACATAAGTCTAAAAATTCGATATTTCTTCTAGAATGTCGAAATACGCGTTGTTAAGCAATTCCGTGTCTGTGTTATTATTTATACCATGCCTTTGTTCCTTGATGTGTATCATTTCCGAGATAAGTCTTTTATAATAATTAGATTCAATATCAAGTATTTTAACGTTATCCCAATCAAAAGCATGTTTTTTTTCTATAATATGTTCAGAGACCACAGAATGCTTGGAGGAATCAAATTTAATATTATTCATATGCTCTTTTAGTCTAGTGCGTAATTTTCTTTTTTACAATTAATTTTGTAGACAACATTATTATTATTGTTATGCACGTTTTTGTCCTTGTGGACTTTAATTAATTTGTTAAGATTATTTAGACAACGGTATCCTACTCTGAAATCTGATTTTTTTATTGTCGATGCTATTGTCTCAGAAATGTTATTAATGTATGGAATGACGAAAAATTTTTTCTTGCTATTATCTTCTGCAATTTCTTTTTTTCTATTGTTGTTAAACTGACCATTGTTTAAAACTCTTATTCTCTTTTATATTTGCATTTGTTATATTAAATCAATTAAAAATTATTGACAATTAATAATCTATTTTTCATATATTAAAGATTTAAATAAAATTTTTTAGTATTATTTTTATTATTAATAAACAGTTTTTATATTTGTTTTGAAAATATCTTTTAAAATATAATTTTTTGCATTTTTTATTTTTTAAATTAAATTGAATTTTAAGAAATTTTTATATATTAATTACATATTATATAATATAATTTTTATATTATTTATTATATAATATAAATTTTATATTTTTATTTAACCCTTAGTCCCGACGGTTCTTTTCGGCACCTTAATCCCGACTCATGGGTCGTTTGCGTCTTTGCGTTATTTGGATCAGTAAAAACGCTTTAAAAAATCTGAAGAAATTCATGGAGCTTCTTGCAACCTTCAACTTGAAGTCCCAATCATAATATTTCGATAAAAATTATTTTTTTATATAGTTTGTTATTAAGAAATGGAGGTACCTAAGGAAAAATCACTTGTTCACTGGGTCGCAAACGACCCATGAGTCGGGACTTAGGGTTAATTTATTAAAATGTTTATAATTATTTGTGATTTAGGAACGCTCATCAATTAAATTATCTAGAAGTGAATCTGAGGATACATGCAGTATAGCGAGTAGTTCTTCAATAAATTCACAATTTAAAAATCATAAAAAGGTATACATTTTTATATAAATTTTGCAATATTTTTTAGTGTGCATATACTTTTGACTATATATAAATAATAATTTTTTCTACTTATGTATGAAGAACTGAATTGTAATAATTTTGCTACAAATTATGTAGCATTTTTTTGTTAACTAGACATTCAAAACCTTAATTAAATGAATTATAATGTATATATACATTGATTTATTTATCTCTATAAAAGTTTTAATTAACTTTAATTTTTCAATTATGTAATGCAAACATAAACGCAAATATGAAAAAGTTAATCAAATTTAATATTTCTTAATAATTTTTATAATAATCTTTTTGTTTCTGTTTTAGATGCTAAAAGAATTACTTTGTGTGTGTGAATCTAGCTGTGGTAAAAAAATATTGGAACAAACACGATTGACTTCGTCAGATCGCAATAAACTGTGTCATTTGATTATTGATAAACTTCTTTGCAAATCTAAAAAGTAAGTTGTAAATTTTTGTATGTAAAATATTTTTATACTATTTTTCATTTCTCGATTTATTAAAATTTATTTTAATATTTTAGAATAACTTCTGAACAGTTTCAAGAGTGGGCTGCAGCGATAGCTAGTGTTTTTAAATATGAAAATACATCGACGTATTATGTTCCATCAAATACAAAATTTCGACTTTAATTTAAGTATAACAATTGTTATACTTAAATTTAATTAAAAAAGTTTTTAAAATAGAATATTCTTCATAATAGGCATTAATAGAAATCCCTCTGTTTTTTGGTTTAAACGGTTTTTTCCAAAGATTTTCGAGATTTGGATCATCCGGTTGAATTGCACTCAATTTGAGTAATGCTTCTTGACAGTCAGTCGTATCTTCAATGTTTTCGTCCTCAGTTGCTTTTACTTTTTCTTGATGTATTTTTTAAGATTATTATATTTATCCCAAAGTTTACCGTTAGCAAGACGTCGAAATTTTGTATTTGATGACGTCAAACTTAAGTTTTGTTTGATTTGTTTATTATATTAATTAATTTGATTTGTAATGCGTAATTTTGATTAATTATGCGTATTTTTATATGCTTGACAAATTTAATCGCAAAGTATGATTCTATTTTATTTTGAAATTACAGTTCTATTTTATTTTTAAGATACTTAATAGTATGATTTTATTATGAATTACATTTTATTTCATTTTTAAGATACTTTGTTATATAAAAAATATAATAAAAAATATATATGTATGCACAAAATAATATGTAAAATATTTTGTGTTAATCTAAAATAAATACTTATTTTTAAAAATAACTATTTTATATTTACATTCTTCCTCACATTATTTTTATAATAAAATTACTATATATAATGTATGTAAAATTTACTATAAAATTACATTAATAAAATACCATTTTATATGGTTAGTATTTTATATTCAACATAGTAGTATTAAACAATTCTAATAAAATTAATATAGCTATTAATATGGTAAAAGTTTTCTTAATTAGTCTTAATAGAACATATTAATAGAAACTTTTTTTTATAGTTGGGCAAACACTATAAATTAAAATTGTCAGAACCACAAGCATTGTAGAATTAATTATATATTTATATAGTTATATTAAATATTATGACTTACTACAATATATGGTAAAATTCTTTATAGAATATATTAATACAAACTTTTTTTATAGTTGGACAAACTTTATAAATTAAATTTGTTAGAACCACAAGCATTGTAGAATTAATTATATAAATATATATATATAGTTATATTAAATATTATAAGTTACTATAACATTTAGTTTATTAAACTTTCAATTATGGCCATTATTATCATATTAATAGTTCGATTTACTATATATTTATCACACATTATAGTGTATATAACTATAATTTGTTTGCATATGCTACAGTTATAACAACAATAATTTAAAACTGAGTTAACTATAATTTGTAATGTTAAAATAACTATAAAAATATTGTTGTCCCCTTAACTCACTTAAAATTATAGTTAAATTATGGTAATTGCAACTATTGTTTTCTCTCAGTGTATTTTTGTCAACTTATGAATATTACATACTATCTAAATGAGAATATTTTGTTCCTTTTTTTACTTTGTTAAATTCTCACTACATATCTGTTGGAAAATTGTAGGTTTCAGGCCTCAAGAGAACCATCATCCGTTCCTGCAAGAGGCAGGAGGCGTGAAAAGAGGAGGGAGGGAGAGAGAGAAAGAGAGATCCATTTACGGAATGCTCATCGACCGTCGTGGGCTTTTTTCCGGATGTAAGGGTGTATTCCGCCCCTTTCTTCCCCCTCCCTCCAAATCGTCAAGCCGAGCGAGAAAAGGGAAGGGGGGTGCTTTTCGAGAACGCGCGAAGGAGGATTACTCTGATTCGTTTTGGCTTGCAAATTTCGCCTTTTCCAACCGTCCCCCGTGCCCATCAGCATCCTACCGGGTGATTCGCTACGCGCGATGGGATGAGAATCTTAAGGAACGGGGAACGAGAGAGAGAGAGGAGATGAAAGTGTGCGGAGAATGGTTGCAGCGGCATTGCGATAACAGTGAATAAAATTCTTCGATCTTGAGGTGTGAAAGTGGCGTACGCGGGCCACTTTGCTACTGTGTTAAGGAAAGAATCGTCCTGACTTTTGTCTGAGGAAAAATTTGTCTCTCACGGGGAAAAATCATTCATTAGAAGAATCAAGACGAGTAATCACCCTAATAGCACACCATATCCAAAACATTCAGAGGCTATCCAGAGAATATCTACAAGACATTCGAACATCGTCAGGATGTTCTCTGAACGTCTTCGGGATATGTGTGCTGTTAGGATATTTTATAGACATTTGCTAAGAACGGAAAGATCTGGATCTAAAATGCTGCACGAAACAAAAATCACCATAGAGAGAGAATAATGGAAATTAATAGGAGGAACAATTTGTCTCTCACGGGGAAAACTCATTCATTAGAAGAATCAAGAATCAACGACAAAAATTACTCTAATAGCACACCATATATCCAAAAGACATTCAGAGGATATCCAGAGAATATCCAGAGGACATTCAAACATTCTCAGGATGTTCTCTGAACGTCTTCGGGGTATATGTGTGCTGTTAGGGTATTTTATAGACATTTGCTAAGAACAGAAAGATTTGGATCTAAAATGCTGCACGAAACAAAAATCACCATAGAGAGAGAATAATGGAAATTAATAGGAGGAACAATTTGTCTCTCACGGGGAAAAATCATTTATTAGACGAATCAAGAATCAAAGACAAAAATTACTCTAATAGCACACCATATCCAAAAGACATTCAGAGGATATCCAGAGAATATCCAGAGGACATTCAAACATTCTCAGAATGTTCTCTGAACGTCTTCGGGGTATGTGTGCTGTTAGGGTATTTTATAGACATTTGCTAAGAACGGAAAGATCTGAATCTAAAATGCTGCACGAAACAAAAATAGAAACTAATGGAAATTAATAATGTTGTAGGAAGAAACTCATAAATAGACACTTCGGGACCGTAATCAAGACGCAAGTGTCATTCGTCACGACGAGAGATAACAGGGAGATAAGGCCATTGTTGGGTCTGCGGTTATCGGTTTTCCGAAGGGTAGAAGAGGAGGGGCGGCTAAGGGTAATGCCTCTCCGCGCAGCCGTAAATCATGGTGTTTGCATAAAATATTAATAAGTGACACGAGTCAATCCGGGATTAGATACAAGGGAGGTTGCGCGCGAGAGAAGGGGTCTCTCTCTCCTACGATATATTCGCGTGCGCCACTTTATCTATCTCTATTTTATTTTGTTTGCGCTGGCTTTTCCCATACTCTAAGAGGGGGATCGACCCCGTCTCCTCCTCGTCGTTCGCGATACTCTCTTCGACAAATAGTAATAATGCGAATCGACACGTGACGTCCCGTTGTCGTTACAACGACAAACATTACGTTCAGGGAATGAAAGAAAGAAGAGAGAGAAAAAGAGAGAGAGAGAGAGAAGAGAGAGAGGAAAATTATTTGGAAAGCTGAAAGGGTTATATGTTGTCCTTTGTCATTTTCTTCGGCAGATTATTTATGAAAAATAATATAGACTTCGCTTTTAAATAATATCGAACGAATTAATATAAGGATCTACTTTTAAGATCTTAAATAAGGTGTCTAGCGGAAACCTAAAAAACCTGGAAATGTCAAGAGTAGAATTTTATTCTATTCAACCAATTTTTTTTATTATTCTACTCAACCAATAAAAAGAAAAGGGTGTGCAAAAAAAAAGATATTTTATCAATAAAATAGGACGGCGTTTAGGATCCCCTCAAGCGAATAGAACAGCGTATATTGATACCACGACGAGAGGTTACTCTTGTAGCGAAAGAGTGGCGAACCCGATCGAGAGGTGGCTTTCGCGATGACGCGTGTAGGATAATTGCGAACGGCTGTATCAGTGACCCACACTCCGTTCGACACGTGTCACCCTGCGTGCGCTCGTTGTTCTTATCGGGCGACAGCGCGTCGAGACGTACACACTCTCGGGGTTGTGTGTATTACTCGTAATAATATATTCTTATAACCTGGCGAATATATACATACATATATATATATATATATATGGATCTCTCCCCTTCTCGCAGGATAAAGAAAGATAAAGAAACGAGGGGAAAAGGAGAGAGAGAGAGAGAGAAAGAGCAAGAGCGTGCTGCTGCAGCAGCACATGCGTTTGTCAATGTTTGCCGGTGTCGACACCCACCTACTTATGCAAATCATTTAATTTAACCCCACCGTCGCGTATCTCGAGAGAGATCGTATCTCGAAACCTATTCGTATTCATTGCCTCGAACGGCGGGGAACGCCACCGCTCGACCCACAGCAGCCATACGATCGCGTTTCTCTTGTGTGCCGATGCTGCGCTGGGCTCTCGCCGACCTTTATATCGACGTAAAGTCTCTCTTGCGCCACGTGTGCGTTACGCGCGTCGTTGTACCCGAAGAAATATCCGCGGAAATTGATGTATGTATGTACATCTCTATACCTCTATCTACCTATCTCTCTGATTCGACCGCGGGCGACCGTAACACGTATATATACATACGTTACGCAAGTTTACGACGTGACTGAGAAAGCCGCGCGTCGTTCCACGCTTTTTATTACAATGTATATATTCTGTCGTATTTGTTTACGCAAGAGACGTCATCCCTTTCCGAGTTAACGAAGGAAAATACTACTACCTCTATTTACAACTCTCGGCATCCTCACCGCCAGAAATCAAATTTTGGATCGCATTCGGTATAATTAAATGCTAATTTATTGCTCATTTCTTGCTCTAATCCGGAATTTATTGCTCCCCTACCAATTAGCAAGAAATTGATATAATTTAAGACCGGATAGTGTGTTGACTTAACATTGCGCTTAATATTCCCTTTCGAAAAACACACATAGGGAACTATAAAAAATGAATATATCAGAGAGTTAATTAATTGTTATTTAATTGCCTTCTTTCAAAGATACTGAAGATGGATTTTTTAAATATTTAAATTAATCTTTTTCTTTTTCGATTTTTAAATGGCAAGAGTAACATGTTTTTTAAAGGATAAATAGTTTTTGTGTTTGTATTAAAAGATGTTTTCTAAATTATTTTCGAGTCATATAATTAATTAAATTTAGTGCTCGTAAAATAATTTCTCAATTATTTTTTAGATTTATTTTGCAAGTTATTTTAAAATTATTTGATATTAGAGCAATAAATTAACAATAAAAAGCATTTTTTTCAATTTGGAACAAACTTATGCTATTGATTGATGAATTTTATTATTTATGATAAGAATGCAAGATTATCTACAGATTATCGTTTATGGATTTTGTAGATCATATACGTAGATTCTAGTTTTTATTCGGGTGATATAGTAGTATAAACTGCTATACTTGTTTAAAAAAATATAAATAATAAATAAATAAGAAATAATATGA